AAGTGTCTGACTCTTGGTTTTGGCTCAGGTCATGATCTCACGGTCCACGAGTTCCAGCCCTGAGTTGGACTCTGCACTGACAGCATGGACCCTACTTGAAATTCCCTCTCTGCCTCTCTCTCTACCCCTCCCACCCTCTCAAAATAAATAAACATTTAAGAAAATGGGAATAGTGCCTTCATTTTACTTCTACATAAGAATAACTTGGACAGTAACTGATGTTTAAGTGTTAGCAGATTGATTATATATAATGTATATTCTATATATTATAGTTATATATAAAACTATACACATTAGATAATTGCATTATAATGTATTGTTTTATATAGAATATATATAATAATTACCATATATAAGCTATAATATATACTATAGTTACCATATATTAATATTATATTACTACATATTTGATATGAAGCATAGATAATATATTTGTGGGCAGCGTGGGCCTCTCTCGTTTCTCCTTCCCCATCCCTCCTCCCCTCTCCTAATTTCTCCCTTCCTCTGTCCCCCGCCCTCTCCCTCGTGCTATGCCTGGGCCCCGGCACAGCACCTCTCTGCACGTAGATGGCCGTTCTGCCTTCCACCAAGTGGGTTAGCAGGGTCTCGGAGGTCCCGAGGTCTCAGTTTGGGGAGAGATATTAGAGTCCCCTCCTCCTTCTCTAATCCAACTTCATCACTATCACAGCTGATACTAAACTTCGATTCTCATTTGTCTCTATTTCCGCTGTTAAGCAGCAGAGTGATAATTCAGCATCTTTAAGCCTCCAGCAATTACATGTTAAATGCACAAAAATTAGGAGTCAAATTCGTAAGAAAGGAGGAGGCTATGTCAACAGAGGCCCCTCAAATTCTGTCCTATAAGACAATTATTGGACTCCGGAGCCATAGAATGTAAACCTCTGGCCTGCCTTCCAGGAATGGCCTCCTATCTTCCCATGCAGCAAGACAGAGCGAGCCAGGAGACAGCGACAGGGAAGGCGCCATTCTTGTCATCTGTAAACTCACTGGAGGACATCATCCGCTCATCAAATAGTTGTTGAGTAATCGTGCTGGGCTGGGAAGAAGGAATAATAAACATCCCAGGAAGTCTTACCAAACAAAATGAGGGGCGAGCCTCGCCAAACCTCCATCAGCCTGAAGACCAGGAAGGGGGTGATGATCCCGCCCAGATCACACAGGGAGGAGCACACCATCACTCCAAGGTTCCTGACAAAATAGAGAACAAAAAAGATGCTACTTTCCAAAGGTTAACCTTATCCTAGAGCAAGCACAGGGAGGGGAGAGAGGCTGGCAGAGAGTTAATCACCAATGGCCAATGATTTTCAGTCAATCATGCTACATAACAGAGCCTCCATGGAAACCCTGACCTGTGGGGTGCAGAGCTTCCAGGTTGGTGAACATATCCATGCAATGGTGGCCCACCCCAACTCCATGGGGACAAAAGCTCCCGTGCTTGGGACCCTTCCAGGCCTCACCCTAGGTACCTCTTCATGTGGCTGTTCATTTATATCCTTTATTATGTCCTTTATCATCAACCGGTAACTGCAAATAAGTGTTTCTCTGAGTTCCATGAGATAGAGCAAATTATTGAACTTGAGGAAGGGGATATGGGAGTCCTGATTTAGACCCAGTGAGTCAGAAGTCCAGGTGACAACCTGGGGCTCGTGCCTGGCATCTGAGGTGGGGCCAGTCTTGTGGCACTGAGCCCTCACCCCATGGGATCTGCACTAACTCCATGAGGTTACCATCAGAATGGAACAGGATACCCAGGGGGTATCTGGAAAGTTGGAGAACTGGTTGGTGCAAGCTGAGCTCTTCCATTCTTCCTTCCTTCCTTCCTTCCTTCCTTCCTTCCTTCCTTCCTTCCTTCCTTCCTTCCCTCCCTCCCTCCCTCTCTCTCTCTTTTCTTTTCTTTTTTCTTTTCTTTCTTCTTTCCATGAAGACATAGGGAAGGGCAGAAAGAAGGTATTAAGGATGGGAGGATGAAGAAGCCTAGAAGAGAATCAGAGAAATGATCCTACCTGAAAGGATTCTCTTCATCCCTGGTGATAGTCTTTGCTCTGACATCTACTTTGTCTTACATGAATACGACCACTTTTGACTAGAGTTTGTATGGAATATCTTTTTCCATCCTTTTACTCTTTTTTTTTTTTAATTTTTTTTTTCAACGTTTATTTATTTTTGGGACAGAGAGAGACAGAGCATGAACGGGGGAGGGGCAGAGAGAGAGGGAGACACAGAATCGGAAACAGGCTCCAGGCTCCGAGCCATCAGCCCAGAGCCCGACGTGGGGCTCGAACTCACAGACTGCGAGATCGTGACCTGGCTGAAGTCGGACGCTTAACCGACTGCACCACCCAGGCGCCCCTACTCTTTTTTTTTAAGTTTATGTATTTGTTTTGAGAGAGAGACCGCGTGCGAGCGGCAGAAAGAGAGAGAGGGACAGAGAATCGAAACAGGCACCGTGCTGACGGCAGCCAGCCCAGTGCAGGGCTCAAACCCATAAACCATGAGATCATGACCTGACCCCAAGTCAGATGCTGAACCGACTGAGCCACCCAGGCGCCCCATCATCAGTCTACTCTTAAACTATCTCTGCCCCTATATTTAAAGTGAGTTTCTTGTAGCCAGTATACAGTTGGGTATCACTTTTTTGTCCAATCTGATGATCTTTGACTTTTAATTGGGGTGTTTAGAACATTCATACTTCTTTTGACTGTTGATAAATCTTGCTTGTTCAGTGCTGGGTATTTTTGTATTCCTATAAATAGTCTTGAACTTTGTTTTAAAAACATGGTTAAGCTAGGAACAATAAACTGGGAAACGTTTTATCCTCTAGGATATGACCTTTAAGCTTCTTCGGTGATACCTATTTGCATCTTGGTTGGTTATATCATCTCTCAGTGTTTGCCACTATACCTTTAAACATATTTATGATTTATTTGATCAGTTTTCAACAGGATATTTCTTCTTAGCTGTAAAAAGTATATTGAGGGAATTATATGTAAAAATTATCTATCCATGTTTTATGGAAAGATTCTAATAGCAAGAGTAGATGTTGAATTTATTAAATGCCTTTCACTGCCAATGGAAATAATACAGAACAGTTTTAATTTGTCAGCTTTAATTTATTAGCTCTATAAAACTCTTTCAATTTATTAGCATGATTTATACTATTAGATTTTCTAATACTGGATTTTGTGTTCCTGAGTAGCTCATCTTAGACATGATATATTATTACTTTAATGTCTCCACCATTCTGTTTAATAATATACGGTTTAGGGCTTTAATCAAAATTCTACAAATAATATTTACCTATAGTTTCCTTGTTTTCTTTATCTTTGTTGTTCTTTGATACCAGTATTATGCTGGCTTTATTAAAATTTTTAAAAAATCTTTCTCCTTTTTCTATCGTCTAGAAGAGTTTGAGTATCGTTGGAGTTTTCTATTAATTACATGTTTTGTAAAATCTCCCTGTGAGACCATTGTGGATTTCCTCTTTATCATTGTTTAGGGACTTCCTTATCTCATTAAATACATTTTTGGCATACATTCAATTTTGTCTGATAAGATTATGGCTCTTGCTATATTTTTGTCTGCATTTACTGATATGTTTTCATGCATTCTTTTCCTTTCAACCTTTCCAAGAAGTTGCGCTTCAACTATGAGCATATTGTTCAGTTTTGCTTTGTAATCAACTCAAGGGGTCTCTTTTTTTAAATAGAGGACTTGAGTCTCTTTGTGTTTATTTAAATGTCACAAACGCTTGGTCTTGATTCCGTCATTAGCTTTTATGTCATGGTTTTTACAACTTCTAGTGTCTTATTTTCAATACGTGTTAGTTATCAGTATTTTTTTCTGATAATTTGGAAGGTTTGTATTTTTTTAAGTTTATGTGTTTTTTAGTAATCTCTGCACTCAGTGTGGGACTTGAACTCACGGCCCCCAGATCAAGAATCCCATACTCTTCCCACTGAGCTAGCCAGGTGCCCTGGAAGGTTTGTATTTTTATTCCAAATGTTACCTTTATCATTTTATTTAATACATGTAATACTGTATTTCTTTAGACAGTATTCATTCACTTCCTATTATAAACAATTATAAAATTCGTATATTTCCACTTCCTCCTCAAACCATCCCTGCCTGCACTGACTTTAGTTAATAGTATCATTGTTTTCGTGTTTCTCCTCACATCTTAAAATATACCTAAAACACTATGCAATTTATCAGCTTTTAATAATACATTTTTCCCCCAGCTGGAGAAAGTACACAAAGGAAATCAGCTTATCACACCACGTCTGACATTCCCTCTCCTTTCCTGTCCCTGTCTCCGTTAGTTCTAGCGTTTCTTTATTGTCAGATTTCTGACATTTTCTGCTGTTTGTACTCAAAACCACATACCCTTTAATCCCCCATTTAATGATTATCAATCTGATATCAAGTAGATACTCCCCCTAGATCTGTGACTCAAACCTTCAGCCCAGGAACTTAATAGAATATTCCTTATTGCTTCCTTCTGAGTCTGTTTTTCCTGTGACACCGTGTGCCACTTCAAATCATAGAGTCAACCATTCTTTTATTTCTAGAGGTTTCCTTGAAGGTTTTTTTTTTTTTAATTTCTTGGAGGTTTTTTTTGTTTGTTTCACTCTTTCTGTTATCTTTTCTGGGATGTGTGTACGTGCACGTGTGCGTGTGCATGCGTGTGTGTGTGTGATCTCCAAGACTTTTAAACTCTTTGCTTATTTCCGTTTTATTTTGCAATTCTCAGATCTACCTTGCCTTTCCCTCACTGTCTCGGTTCTCCTTTGCACCGCTTTCAAACAGGTTTCCATTTCTATCATCTGGTCCATATTCTGACCCAAGACCTTTTATCTTGGCCTTAGGCTTTCGTTTGATAGAGATGACTGAGGCAGAGTTTGCATTTGGTTGTGGTATTTTGGGTCACCGTTTTCATCTGCTTTGTGACACTATTTTGCTAGTGAGTGTTCTTCATTTGTCCTCTGCCCTTTGTTCCCTTTCTCCTTTTCTCTCATGGTCTATTTGTGTAACTGGGTGGATTGCTTTTTTATCACCCTTCTTTGCTACTGGGATCTCTTCCTGTATCAGCCATGTCGAAGAATTTGTGGAGAGGAGCCAGGCCACGTGCCGGGTCAGGACAGATTCTCTTTTTGACCCGGGTCGAATGCGATCAGGTGCTTAACGTCTCTCACTCCCAATCGGCAGGGGTCGACAGGACAGAATTGCTCACCGTGTTGGGTCTTTCTCCTCCACCCCGCCTCGCGCACACCGCCATCTCCAAGGTCCCTGAATGTTCTCTCGTGGTCTCGCTCTCCCTGCACCACCTTCAGCCTCACAAGGTCGGGGGGATGGAGCTTATGGGTCCAGCCCCTGAAGCCATCTGTTACTGCAAACAAGGGACTGTGGGTTGTACCCTCCCCGGTATGCTTCCTGCTTTGGAAAACTGTTGGCCTTGTCCAAGGGTCACTGTCACCATGTGCATCCCTGGAATCTTCCAGACCCTCTGAAACCTCACTGCACTCAGCAGCCCTTCTTCTCACGCTTGTCTTTCAGGGTCATCCTAGGTTTGTTTATGTTTATTTATTTTTGAGAGAGAAAGAGAGAGAGCATGAGCAGGGGAAGGGGCAGAGAGAGGGGGAGACACAGAACCTGAAGCAGGCCTGACTCGGGGCTCGAACTCACGAACCGCGAGATCGTGACCTGAGCCGAAGTTGGACGCTCAACCAGCTGAGCCACCCCGGCGCCCCCAGGGTCATCCTAGTTTTAAAGTTGGCATTTGCAGCTTTGTTTATTCTCATTTTTCGAATAGCTTCAGTGCCACTTCCAAGAGAAGAAAGGAAAGACGCCGTTATTTTAAGCGGTTACGTTTTAGAGAAGTAAAAAAAATGTAATAAGCACACAGAAGCTAGAAGCAGTAGGGACAGGGAGCTAAGTTCCTGATGGGAGAGTCACATGGTGTGGTGTTTTCTGCACTCGGCCATTCTACGGGCCCTGGGGGACCGCTCAGGACAGCTCTATTATAGGTACAGAGAAGTACGATATGTCACTCCCGTTTTCAGGCAGCCCATGCCGTAGTGGGGACACAAAAAGGAGAGACGATTTCCAACACAAGGCAGAGCCCACTGAAGCCAAAAGAATGTTCTTGACAATATGTGCTGCAGTCAGAAGGTGGCTGTTCATTTCTAAAGCCTCCTGTGAGTAAGAAGCAGGGTCAAGATGGCTTCAATAGTAATTTCTAAATTTGGAGCTCTTGTACAGTAATAAAGTAACTGGAATAACCCGTTTTTAAAAAAAAAAAACAGTTTCGGGGCGCCTGGGTGGCTCAGTTGGTTGAGCGGCCGACTTCGGCTCAGGTCATGATCTCACAGTCCATGAGTTCGAGCCCCGCGTCGGGCTCTGTGCTGACAGCTCAGAGCCTGGAGCCTGTTTCAAATTCTGTGTCTCCCTCTCTCTGACCCTCCCCTGTTCATGCTCTGTCTCTCTCTGTCTCAAAAATAAATAAACATTAAAAAAAATTAAAAAAAAAACAGTTTCGATTGGATTCTATCCATTGAAAATATCAGAACTTTCATGACTCTTATTCTTGTGTGTGTATGGATCACATTTAAAGTTTTTTTTAATAAAGTTTATTTATTTATTTTGAGAGAGTGTGTGTGTGTGTGTGAGCAGGGGAAGGACAGAGAGAGAGGGGCGAGAGAGGATCCCAAGCAGGCTCCGCGCTCTCTGCTCAGAGCCAACGTGGGGCTTGAAATCACAAACCGTGAGATCACGACCTGAGCCGAAACCAAGATTCAGATAGATGCTTAACCGACTGAGCCACCCGGGCGCCCCTAAAGTTATTTCTGAACTTCTGGCTTCCATTTCTAGTTATTGAGAATCCTTATCAACAGGCTCTCTGCACAAATGGCTCCTTGAGATGGGTTGCTTGGCTTTCTTCCCCGTAGGAGCAGGGACTCAGGCCCTTTGACAGTTAACATTTTCAGCCAGTCCCCTGGGTCCGGTGGCCATGACAATGGAATTGTTTGGCCCGGCTATTTTAGACTCCGGGCTCAGGACTGCCAAATGTGGAAGATTTTCTCTTTAATGTGCCTTCATCCCTTTGTACTCAGTCCAAGCAACCTTTTATAGATGAGAGTATGAGACAGAGCCTTTTAGTGAAGGGCAGGTGGGGAAGAGGACAGTAAATCAGGGCCACTGTTGCACCTTCCGGCTGACTGACGGGCTCAGATTGCTGTGCAGCTGAGCGATCGGGGAGCTGGAATATTTCTTAGAAACTACTGGCATGATGGCATGAGGAATAGCACACGAGAAAGAGTTACACAGACCGAAGAGACAGTTTGAGAAAATAGACCAAATTCTAACGAGGGTCCGAATTCAACCTCGAAGTAGAGTGGTTAGTTTCTTTTACCCTAAAAATAATCTTCATTTAAAACTAAGCCTCCTAAAACACAGATGGCAGTAAGTCCATACAAAGATGCTCAACATTTTTAGTAATTAGGAAAATGTAATTTAAAGTCACAATAATACCACTACTTCTCAGAATGACTTCGAAAAATAAAAAAAAAAAAAAGAAAGAAAGAATAAAGAAAAAACAAGTCACAATACCAAGTGCTGATGAGGATGTGGAACGATAGGATGTCTCACGTGGTTGGCGGAACACAAAATGGCGCAGCTCTTTGGCAAACGTTCTGACCGTTTCTTATAAATTTAAACACACACTTACCATATGAGCCATTCCTAAGTTTGTGGCCATGAGATACGACAACATGTATCCACTCCAAGACCCTTACCTGAATGTTTATGAGCAGCTACACTGTACTCACTCCAACCTGGAGACAGTCAATGCCAATACACTGGGAAATGGATAAACAAATCGTGGCACATCATTCACACGCCGGGAAAGCACTCAGCGCGCACTCAGAAGGGGCAGAGCACGGACGCAGGCGGGCAACTACGTGATGTCCCCCGTCCTGCTAAGTGAAAGGAGACAAACACCGAGTCTGCCTGCCTTGTGACTTCATTTACATGACATTCTGGAAAAGGTAGAACCAAAGGGACAGAAATCAGATGAGTGGTTGCCAGGTGCTGGAGGTGGGGAAGGGACACGAGGAAGCATTTGGAGATGATGGAGACGTCTCCATACTGATCGTCGCGGCAGGGAAATGAACACACATATAATGAAAATTCAGCAAACTGTGCGCGTTAGAGTGAACTCTGGTCTGAACCTGACTTGGAACGATAAGTCCTCCAGGCCTGTTGCTACGTTTACGGACAAGCATTGTGTCATCACGGGAAAGGCACGGGCTTCTGGTGGCATCAGGGCAGACGCCCTGCCACTTTCCAGCTGTGTGCCTCTTGAGAGTTCTGTGTCCCTCTCTGAACCTCAACTTCCTCATCTGTAAAATGGAAATAATGACATTGGGGGCGAAATGGCACAGCTCTAGAAATGCTTCCTGTGTCACTGGGCCAGTCGGAACTCTGTCTACGCAACGTGTGTCTACAGGCACGGATGGAGCTACGGGAGTTCGCGCCACTAGCCGTGGGCTGGGCTGAAACTCAGTCTCCCACTCTCTCCCGTCTCTGTGCAGATGCCTTTTCTCTCATGCCTGCCCTCTGCACGGTCTCCTCCAACCTTTCCATCTCACATTCTCTCCTACAATCGGGTGTCGACGCGCTCTTTGATGCCCAACCCCTGCCTCAATGTCCAAACGGACCTTGGGGGAGCCTTGAGGAATCATCTTAGAAGTGCCGGTCCTCGTTGAGCCTGGCTGGTGCACAACTATTTCAGGGGCTACCCGACCTCCGCCCCACCCCCACCCCACCCCACCCCGCTTTGTGCGCCCACCTGACGAACGTGGGATACAGCTCGGCGTTCACCAGGCACACGGTTTGGAACACGATGGTGATTCCCATTCGGCCGATGCAAGCTACTGTGATGTTTAGCCAGTGCAGATCTGGACAGGAAACACAGAGGTGGGGATCTCACGTGAGGACTGTGGTCACAGAGTTCCCTCCCTCGAGGAGTCAGGTTAAGAAGCTTGGCCTTTAGAGCTGGAAGGGCCTGAAGGACTGTCTTGTCTAACTCTTTCCTTCTGGGATAAGACCTGAGAGGTCTCAGAACTGGACAGTGACACATGAAGGGGGGCTCCTCTGTGCAGGGGAAAGAACATGCATTTGGAGTCTCAGCTCTGCCTCCTGTCAGCCACGTGACTTCCTTCTTTGTCTCTTGGTTTCCGGAAACACAGTAGGTCCACGAAAAATGCAGCCCTTTAGGTACTATCCTGGAGCCGACAGACCAGATTTCTAATCTTCCATCGAGGGTTCGTTTCCAAACACATTTTTAAAACCAAAACCCTTCTCCAGATAGTACCAAATGTGAGCATTAGGGAAGCAAACCTTGTCTCCGCTTAGCCGACTGCTGTGGGCTCTTGATTACACGACGGTCCAGGACTGATCCAAGAATTGGGCACCTTCACCTGCTCCACCTGGATCGTCCCAAACACTGACACACACAAGTGGCTCCTGTGACATGCCAGGTCACTTGGAAAGCCTCTTGGCTCACAGCCACTATGCCATCTCAACCCCTGGCCCCAGATATTGGCTGCTCACGGAAGCCTGCTCTGTTTCACTCCACCAGCGTGAGGCTCCCAGGAGAGAGGACACGGTGGCCTTAGGAACGAGCTGGCCACAAGGTCCAGCCCAGTCTCCCAGCCTCTGGCAGCTCCCCACCTTGTGCTAATCAAGGACGCGCCCCACCTTCCTAAAGAGAAAAGGTGAAGTTTACTCCGTACATAGAGGGAGGGCCTTGCACACAAACTCTGGGGTCTTTAATCTGTTGAGCTGTTCAACTGCCCCGGCTCCCCTTGGCACTGTGGGGCCATCCCTGCCCAAAGCCCCCAGTGCCTCTCTTCCACACTGGGGTACAGTCCAAGGCCACCTCCTGCTAACTGGGCCTCTGTCCATCGCTCCTGCCCCTGCTCTCCTGATTCTGGGTGCAAGGATTCCAGCTGTTCCTTGAATGCTCAGCTCTGCCCTCCGCGGGGAGACTCCCACTCCTGTCCCCCGCCTGGGAAGCACATTCCCTAGACGGCAACACGGCTCGCTCCCCTCATTCAGGTCTCCCGAGGCCACCCCTGACCACCACACCAAGGACTAAGCCCGCCACGCTTTGCTTTCTCTTTTTCCCTCTAGCATGCAAATTCTGCAAAGCAAGAACTTTCTCTGCTTTGCTCGCTAGATCCCAGGACCTAGATGCACACTGGCCACAGAGAAGGTACTCGAAATACTTCCTGGACGAGAGAGTGAGTGTTTACCATCTAATGTGACAAGGACTAAATCGAGGCCAAGTGGAGAGGGTGGGGCTGTGAGGGGGCCTGGGAGGATGGGACCAGAGAACATGATGCCTGGGCTCTGCCTGCCTGATAATTGAACAGTCTCAGACCTCAAGCTCCCTCTCTGTACCCAGTGCTGTTACTTAAACAACAACAACAACAACAACAACAACAACAACAAAACTTCTCATTTATCTTTCCAGGATCCTAGAAACAAGAAAATGCAGAAGAAGGAGGGTAAAATCTATTTCAGATGGCCTCTGCCCCTTTCCCTGTCTTCTTTGTCCTCTTGCCATGCAAGGAGGGGGGAGAAAACTGAGCTGCCTTTTTCCACCTCTTTTTATTTATTTTTTGTATTTATTATTTTTTATTTTCAGCCTGATCTATATCCAGCCTGTTCCTTGAGAAGACAGAGTTCAGGAAACGCTTCCCACAATACCCTCCATAAAAGCTTACCAAAACAACTCATTTAACCAACAAGGCCAGAGCGCAAGCAATGGAACCAGAGAGAATAGCAAGTCTGGTTTAACAATCTTCCCAAAGGAACAAAGAGGAAAGGCAATTTGTGCATTGGAAATTAAAACTGACGAAAATGATTCTGTTTTGGATTATCCTGGATTGTAAGAATTAAGGACGAAAGCACCCACCCACCGAAATGGCTGGTGTGAAAAAGACTAGCCACACCCCGTGTTGGTGATGATGTGTCACAATTAGACACGCGGGCCTCATCGGGGGGAGTGTAAATTGGTCCAAGCATTTTGGAAACCTGTTTGCATCTACTTAGAGGTGCGTATATGCCGCCCCGACCCAGAAAACGCACTCACAGATCTGTACCCAAGGGAAATCGGTGCCCGCACCATGACAAGACGATGTGCTAGAATGTTCACTGCAGCTTAGATCCCAAGAGGCAGATGCCGGAAACCACACAGGGGTCGGTCAGCAGTGGGACAGGTAAGTGGCATGGGATTCATACGGTGGAATGCTGCACAACGATGAAAAAGCACATAAACTACGCTCCGGTGTGACGGCATGGACAAATCTCACAGATGGAATGAGTGAACGAAGCAAGACAAATACACAGGGCACATCTCGTATGTTCCTTTCATGTGAAGTTCAAGAACCGTTGGAATTAATACTCAGGGACAGAGGTCAGAGCAGCGGTGATCTGAACGGGGGGGCTGAGTATGGATTGTCAGGGACCATGGGGGAACCTCCTAAGGTGCTGGAAGTGTGCCACGTAATCTGGGTCATGTACCCAGATACATACCTATGGACAAACTCATCAGCTTTTACACTTACAATTTGCTCATTGAGTGTACGTTATACCTCAATTTAAAAAACAAAAACAAAAAACGAAAAAAAACCCTTGTAGATGAAGGTGACACCCATCTTTGTCTTTGTTCTTATCCCAGGGGCTCATCGAGCAGCGAAAACACTGTTCCCACAGTTGGATAATTCAGTTCCCTAGAAGATGATGACGGACAGCTCACCGTGTGAGATAAAAACCATGGCGAAGCAGGCTGCCCCCGCCACCAGGTTTGACAGGGCCATCGGGCGGATGAGGCCGCAGCGGTCAATGGTGACGAGGATGATGAAGGCCGCCGGGAATTCAACCAGAGCCGAGTACAAGAAATCCAGGTAGAGGTTCGCACCCGTGGCGCCCACGTGCATGATGAGGCCCTGGTAGAGCACAGAGCTGGTGAACCTGGGCACGGAGGGGAGGCGGAGTGTAAGGCAGAGCGTCTGTGGGACAGTAGGGAGGGAGGATTCTGGCAGCGAAGACAAAGGTCCCTACGAGCTGGAGAGGAGCGTGGGTCCCTTGATTTAGAATGTCTGAGAGCAATCCGAGAAGAGGGGATAATCGTCAGGAAGGACGTCCCAGAGGGGCCCTTGGGGAGCAGCTCCTCTCAGATTTACGTGAGACGATGACTTCCAGGACATAAGCACGTGTCCCAGAGACCCTGACTGTTTCCTGCGACCTAGCGGCCTGGCCCCGCGCGGAGCCCTGCACGGGCCTTACTTCGTCTAATCCTCCGGCAGCTACAAGGAGGCGGGTGGGAGAAGGTGGGTGAGAAGGTTCAGTAATCAGGCCTGCTGTATGAGCCGTGTGACCCGAAGTAACTTAGCTAAGCCCTCTGTGCCTCAATTCCCTCATCAGCAAATGGAATAAGGTCTTCCGGGAACACTCAGGCAAGTCCCATCCCGCCCAAACATGGAGACTCGGGCAAAGCGACCTCTCCCTTGTTCCACCCTGACGAGGGGACAGCCGTCCTGACCACGGACGTACAGGCGTAGAGGCCAGCCTTCGTTTAGGGAGACTGGGTGTACTTCAGTGCCACCCACAGGTAAGGTTTGCCCTCAGCAGGACGGTGACCAAAGGGGCAGGGATGAGATACCTCTCTCCACAGCCCTCTCTGCACCCCTTCCCTGCCCCACAGGAAGTACCTGGTGGGCTTCCTGGCACCGGAAGAGCACTCGGCAAAGATGAGCAGTAATTGGCATCGGCGTCTCCCCAAGGTCAAGTACGCAGAGAGAGCAGGGCAGATACTGGCCAAGTCTCTCCAGCTGCACAGTGGCGTTGTCCCCCTGTCTTCCACCCTGTAGCCCACCCCACGACCCATCCATGCGTCATCCAGGGGAGAATAGCAGTGTCACAGAACAAGGCACCTAGACCGATGGGGACCAGCTAAGTGGCTCAGAGAGACTTCAGAGAGTTCCACGTGTCCTTTTAGGTGACATTGTATGATTTCAGAGGCTGGACACATTTTATGACACTGTGAGAAGAGACCTCGGTTGACGATAAACTGCTCTTATCCCAGCATCTGGATTGCCCATCAGCTCCAAAACCGAGATCACGACTGATGTGTCCCATTAACATACCCCCTCGTTTTCTAAAGCTGCACGCAGAGAACCACTGGGACGTTCTTATTTCCAGCCCTGCCTCACTCCTGATTGGAGAAAAGGGTGAAGGCAACGTGAAGGAAGGCGCTCGCCCGTAGCTTGGTGAGTCCAGATAAGCCCAGGGGCCCCCTCCGTGCCAGCTAGCCAGTTAAACGGGAACAGTCACATATTACTGACAAAGATGTTAAGAGAAAGGAACGGAGAGCCTGGACTTTCCGGTCCCCAAACGGTTCACAAATGTGCAGGGCTGCCATCTTTTGGCAGAACCCATGAACTGCATGTGCGTGTTAGAATGGCACGTCCTGGTACTGAGGGGGTCCCGCGTCTACATCGGACACCGTTCTAAGCTGTTCACACATGTCATCTCGTGAATCTGCCAACGCACCTGTGAGGTGAGTCCTATCCTGGCCCCACGTGCTGATGAGGAGCCTGAGTCACGGATAGTGAGGCCTTCTGGAGTCACACAGCCGGAGTTGCTGCACTGAAGGAGCAGGTGGAGGGAAGGTGTCCGGGGTCAGTGCCTTGGAGGCCACGGGAAGGGATCTGGTTTTATCCTCAGTGGACTAGGGAGGCGTGGAAAGGGGAGCGACCTGGTCTTTGCCTGCTTTGTGAGCAGCGCCTGGCGGGGGACGGCGGTGGGAGCAGACAGGACAGCTAGGCGGTGCCACAACAGCACAGGCAAGAGATCACGACCGTCGGGAGGGGAACTGAGAGGGCAGGTGATGCGAAACGGCAGATTCTGAACACATTTTCAAAATAGAGCAGAATTTGCTGAGGGCTGGGGTGCAGGGGTGTGAGAGCAGAGGAGCCGAAGCGCCCCCCCTTAAGAGGAGTGCGCTAGGGGATGGAAACGGGGGTGGCGAGTGGTAAGGGGAAGAAGGAAGAAGGGAGACAGGAGGGCACAGGCAGCAGGGGTGTTTGCAAAGGCTCCCGGGACCCATCGTGGGGCTGGCTGCCGAACTCGGGGACCAACACGGAGGTGTGGCAGGTGACTGATGGAGCAACGGGAATGAGCCTGGCTGGTGTCTAATGCATAGGAGGGATTCCGTGGAACAGTGGTTATTCATTCAACCTTCAGCAAATATTTGTGGGGTTACCATGTGCCAGGCACCACCCTATTAGTTTGAACCCTTAGTTCTAGTAAAACCTTATGTGGAAGCGGAAATGAGTTAACCAGCAGCAGGGGAAGCCCACAGTCCAGCTGTTCAGCCCCAGGTGTTAGAGAAGCATGTCAACGACAAAGGCCCGGTAGTGGGGAGCCGACCCGATGTCCTTTGAGGGAAGGGGGTAGAGAACTGCAAGATGGCAACCTGGAGAGGGGTACAGACCCTGGGGGTGGGCAGGGGCTACATGGGTGAGTCCATCGGTGTCCAAGCGTTCCGTAATCAGTGGATCATAAAGACACAGAAACGCTCAGGGCAGGGTCTCTGAAGTTCTAAGGTGTGAGGAAGGGATCGTCCCCTTTGGAAGCACCAGGAGCCACTGAAATCACCTTCCAAAGTGAAATCAAGATTCTTCTGTTCCCAGAAGATGGACACGTGGGGTTTGAGGCAACCTTGGGAACCCTTCGTCATGTGTCACTCATCTTACTGTTAACCTCGCCGACGCAACATGCTCTTCTTACTAAAAGGATGTCTTTCCCCATTAATCAGTCCTCAAGGGAGGAAAAAAAGACGTCTCGCTACGAGCTCTTTGCTTGAAATTCATCTAAAAATTCCTTTTCATGCTTCTCTTTTTCCACCGGCATTGCTCCACTGTCTTTTTTGTAATGTTTATTCATTTATTTGGGGGGGGGGGAGGGGCAGAGAGAGAGGGAGACAGAGAATCCCAAGCAGGCTCCATGCTCGGTGCGATCTCATGACTCACCGTGAGACCACGACCTGCGCCGAGGTCAAGAGCTAGACGCTCAACCCACCGAGCCACCCAGGCGCCCTGCTCCGCTATCTTTAACTTGTACCCCGGCGTCCGGGCAGGCTCACCGAGTCTGGCAGGGAAGGCACAGGGAGGGCTCCTTACCACAGGTACATCAGAATAAAGGTGTGTTTCCTCAGCTGTGGCGTGCGGAACAGGTCTGCAAAGGAGGGGCTCAGCTTCTCGGTGACGTCCTCTTCGAGCGAGAGCATCTAGGAGGGAGACGGAGAGCGTCGGCCACATCCTAACTGCGGGGGGAGCCGAAGAAGCCCTCAGAGCCACCCCGCCCGGCCGTCAGCCACTGCCCTTCCTGTGCTCGGCACTCATCACCCCCATTGCCTCCCGTGCCTTCCGGCTTCTCAAGGCAGCCCCAGAAGCACTTTCTAAATCATAAACCCGACCCCCAAATTCAGGGATGTGAGGAAGCCCCTGCTAGCACATCACCTTCAGATCAACAAGTGGCAGCTTCCCATTCTTGCGGGCGATGTGGCCCATTATCTTCATCACTTGCGCGTTTCTCTTCTGCGACAGCAGCCAGCGGGGAGACTCGGGCACACACCTGCAGACACAGATCGTCACTCCGTGGCACCTTCCCCAGAGCGCGTCCCATTTTAAGCCCTGGTCAGAGCGATGTTGCTCTGAGCAACCCACCCGCCTCACGTGGGGACTGTCAGTCCTCAAGCAGCTAGCGGACGAGGATCTGGGCTCACCCTGTGTTGGCTCAGGGGGCGCACGAAGGAGCTCTGCGGGCCCCTCACACTCTCAGTGCCACCTGCTAAGATTTAGGGGCAAAAAGGGAACCACCGCTTTCCTATGTGGCCTGCATTTCATGGAGCAGGGGCCCCATTCTTTGCTGGAAGCTGGGAGCCCTGTTCCTCACCCAGAATGGACGTTCCGTGTGCCCCCCCACCCCTTGGGCTACAGCAGGTGTCTCCGTGTAATTCGAGGGCGGTCGAACAAGGCTCGAAATACCTCCCAAACGAAATAAACCATACTCACTTTCCTCTAACACCGGGGAGATAGCAGGCTGTCCATTTCAAACCAGGTAAGGATGTTACAACTCGAAGACTGAGCATCTCTGGCTGAAGGTCTTCTGAACACACTCTGGTGTGGCCCCACCCCTCCTGACCCTCCTTCCC